TGTTTGTTTGTTCTTCCTTGTTCAAAAATTGTTCAGGACAAGCAAACAAACTAAGCTTGGGTCTCAGGGGGGAATGATTTCAATATAAAATCTCACCAGTTACTTAAATTGGGAGCTCAATAGTATTTGTGCCAGGTATTTGTAGTGTATGTTTGTAGGCTTCACCATTTCAGAGATCCTTTGAGCATGTGGATGGTTCATTGATGTGGTCATGTTTTAGTCCATCTATATTTTTCTAGGTCACCTGTTTCACAAGAAGGGCAGCAACCTCACTGAAGGGAATTTTAACACCTATCAGGCTGGAAAGTAGGACTTTGTGCATGGGAATTTGGGTGTGTGACGAATAAACCTATGCTAGGAGAGGATGATTGGACCTCTCTGGCCTTTTATCCTCAGGTGAGAACCAACGTTTTATAGGGAGTTTCTTGAGCAAGGACTTCATGAGATACAAGCCCAAAACTTTATGAGAAACAAAAGCAACGGGGATTCAGTAACACAGAGTACATTGTTGTGATCTACCAATATTATTGCTGGTAGCAGTAATTTCATTTTTTTTTTTAAAGCAAGGGAATATGACTTGAACCCAGGTCTTCGTTTTCAGAAAACTAAATACCTCTAAACAAACTAAATAATGATGTGACCTCTGTAGCTTTCCAAGAGCCTAGATGTGATGTGTCCTCTCCCTCACTCACAGAAAAAAATAATGGTCTTGTTAGTATGCCTACTTATGCATAATGAAAACCAAAACATGACAACTCTTTCAAAACCAAAATTAGGAGGACTAAAGAGGGTACATATCTGCATAAATGTAAATATATTTATATAAAATGCAGTGAATTTCACCATGGTAAGAAAGACTTTGACATGTGAATTGTGTGCTTGCTCAGTAAGCTAATGGTTGATAGATTTCTTCAAACAGCAGACACCTTTACACAGAGGATGATCTCTGTAATGTAAAGCCCATGGTCATCATAAGCTCTGTAATCAGGTACTGTATCTTATAAGTCTGAAATGCAACACAACAAAGAGATTTTGATCTTGGCTCATTGAAAGCACCTCAGAAACATTAATACCTATTGTGAATATATGTAAATTTAAATCCATTATTACTGTTTCCTTGAAACAAAGGGGGAGGAACAAGGAGTTTGGGCTAACTTGGTAGCAGAAAAGAACAATAAACAAAATGAGGGATATGTTACTGGATAAAATGACAGGGGCCCATGAAAGAGGAATGGCCTTCAGGAATGAATCATACTCTAATCTTACAAAAAACATTGAGTGATATATCATTTGTGGATGGTGATTAACCATCACCTCTAAAAGCGTACAGTTTCTATCAGTTCTGAAGACATGAAGAGGCATGTTTTTCCTAGTGACGTGGGAATCTTCCATGGCAGTGAATCGTTCTGGTGTTCCAGAACTAGACTGAAATAGGGACAATAGAAACATGTACAATACTTATTGTTTTTAAAGCACCTTTTACAGATCTGAAGATTAGGAACACAAAAATGTATCCTGTGTTGCTAGCTTTGATGGTAAAATTACCAGTGATTCTGTAGCTTATATCATTGTAGCAATTTCCAAGGTTCTATTGGATATTTTAAAAATAACTATTATACACACAATTGAAATTGTTCCAAGTTTGTGTTGAAAATAAAGAGAAAAACTAGCTACAGCAATATAAATACTGTATATATCAAGACAGGTACTTCATATGCATGTGTCCCTTAAGATCCATTTGTCAGAAAGGCACTGTTGGAAGAGTACACTAGAGAAATGTCCCACCACGTTTCTGTACTCCTGAATGCTTGAATTCAGGTTGCTATTGTCTCCAAAACGTTGTCTTCTTAAATACATTTACATCGTCATCGTCATCATCATCATCATCAACAACAACAACAACAGGAACCCAACAATGTGAATAGATAAAAATCTAAACCCTGGAATACACAGTAACAGAGTAGGACTAATGTATCCATGGGGATCCATTCCACAAATGCTTGAAACAGTGCACTCTTTATGTAACATAGAAGAAGGTGGGACAAAGGCCACAAGAGGCAGGACAAAGGGCACAAGGCCCACTCCTTATATGTTGTATATAGGACTGCAATAAATCACCGATGAGTGTGGATACTGGGGTCCTACTGTTATACATAATGGTCACTACAAAAGAACTGTCCTTCCATTTTCTCAGCACATAAATTGATGCCTACTACTTAATTAATAGCATTAGGGTCGGTACATGTTTGTGCTGTCTGAGAAATAAAAGTATCATGTCTAGAGATTGACACAAACTGGAAAACCGGTGGTTTGTAATGGTCTGTAGTTCATTGCTAACCATGAACCCCCAGAAAAATGAACCAGTTTGCAGTTTGTTTGTTTGGTTAATGTCTGGAGGGGGGGGACCTGCCTCCTCTTCCTGCTCTTCCACCTGCCCACCCCCTTCCCACTGCCTGTTGCCTTCCTACCTGGTTCTGCCACTGCTACTGCGGCCCTCTGCCCATCATTCTCAGAGACAGTAAGTCTGGTTTCTCTTCCAGGAGCCAGGCCTGCTGCTTCCGATCATGCACCCACTTTTCAGTTTACTATTTGAGCAGCTGCATCCTTTTTGAGCTTTTTTGTTTTGACTTAATAAAGATATCATCTTGGTAAGGATTTGGGAAGTTCTTCAGTGCCAATATGGCTGTCCATTCTTTTGTTTGTTCCTAAAATTATGTTTGATGTGCTAAACTTACTAATACCATTTTTTTCACAAAATAGTTACAGATTTCTTGAGTTTGTTTTTCAGTGCTTTAAATTTTTGTTGCAAATAGAAATACAATTTGGACTCTTTAACAAACCTAAAATAATATAGTTTTCTTGCCAGTTTGTGAGAATCATAAGGGCTGAAGTTGAAAACAGAAGAAACCATTGATGTTATAGCGAAACAGAGAATGTTATTATGTGCTCTGAACAGAAATAGAAAAATAATGAAAAAGGCATGCAACAGACAGCTGATAATTGTGAAAACCATTGTGTGGACGTCGGTTTCACCTGCAGTTTTTCCATAGCAAAATTCTGGGCTCTATTTCTTTTTTCTTTTTCTTTCTTTCTTTCTTTTTTTGCTATATTTCCAAACATGGTACAGTTGTTTTAACATCCTGCAGAGAGTGAAGGAATTTGAACTGAGACAAACACAAGGAGTCAGAGGCTGCCTCCTGTCAAAGACCCAGCAAATCTCCAACCAGATCCCTGTACCAAGTACATGAAAATGTCATATTTGAAAGTTCCTTTCTGACATCAAGTCTTAAAAATATGCTTAGAGATCATGTTATAGAGGTAAAGGTTGAGTAGCATTAGTTGACCACCTTGTCTCAAATATTTTATTCTTACTTTGAAATAAATCAGCCCAGCCAGCCCACTCCTCTCATGATGACAGCTGGGCAGGCCTGACCTGAGGTGAGGGAACACCCCATTTTTCTGAATGGATGAATGATCACTGCATCCTAAGACAGGTGCTCCTGGTTCCGATTCTGCTATGGAAAGAAGGGCCTGCCTTCTGCCTGCATTCCCCTCCTGTTGTCTGTATGTTTGAATTCAGGCTTGCTTGCTCTGTGTGTATGTATCCGCTTTCACAATGCTTGTCAGCCTGAGTTCTTCTTACCAGTACTGTGTGTTCCACCACACCCATCCGAAGGGACACCAGCCCCATAGAGGTAATGCTAGGGACCAACATTCATTCCCCCCCCCAAGGAGGTTTGTGGGAATAAATAAATGAAAATGGTGAAGCTGGTTTGCACCTGCTCAGTAAGACCTCAGCAGTGGGGTGCCTCTGTGACTCCGGAGGGGTTCCTCATGGCCTGTGAGAAGGCAAGAGAGACCAGGAGGTGATCAAGAATAAGGGGGGGTGGGTGTCGGTGGGGGGGTGGCTCAGAAAAGGCGGCACCTCTTCTCCCATTTTGCTGCATGCCCTGGCGAGCACCTCACGGGTCCCGCTGGCCGGCCCTTTGCATTGAGTGCTGGAATGCAGCCCTACCTGGGGGCCCCTTTCCCGCCTAGCCTGAGAGTCCGCGGGCGATGCGAGGCGGGGAATTAGCCCAGAGGGGAGGGGAAAACCTGCCCTGCCTCACCCAGTTGGAAACGAGCCCGCCATCCCCCTATCTCTGCTCTCCTCAAAAGTGCCACTCGGGACGTGGGACCCCCGTTTCTCACGCGAAGTCGCACTGCCCTGTGCACCTCAGGGAAGAAGGCCGCTCCCTCCCTGACAGACCTTATCCCAGAAAGGTGCCCTCGGAGGTGGGGCAACAGACCAGGAAAGGTCCCCCGGGCGGGAGACTTGGTCAGGCGAAGGGGAAGGGGGAGAAGTCGGGCGAGGAGAGAGACTCCCTCCGTCGCGCCAACTCCTCTCGCCCACCGCCGCTTCTTCGCCATCACCGCGGCTCTGGACCAGAGGCGGCTGAGCGGGCTGAAGGCACAGACGTCTCCCTGAAAGCCCCAGCACGAAGAAAGAGCGCCCTGAACAATAACAAAACCCGCCTTCTCGCTCGCTCGCTCGCTCGGCTGCCTCTGGCACGCGCCGGGTGGGAAAGAGCGCGGCTGCCTTGACAAGCGCGGCGGCGGCGGCGGCGAGGAGGCTGGAGAGGCACCGCCGGCCGCGTCCCGCCCTTCCTCCCCCGCCCTTGTCCCCAGAGAGCGGGAGCGAGAGACGTGGGGAGGGGGAGGAAGGCGCGGGAAGGAGGGAGGGAGGGAGGACTCAGACGCTAACTTTGGGAGTTTCCTTGGATTCCCTTGTATGGCGAAGCTCCTCTCCCCTAGGACTCCGCCGTCTCCCTTTCTACAGGAGCCTCTCTTGGGCGGCTACCCCTTTCTCCCCAGACCCTCTCGCTCTC